CAGCCCTAGTAGGGATGTGATTGTTATTTGTGAGTAACGAGTCGTTAACTGGTGTCTGCAGAGACCTGCTGCGGCTCGGGGAGCTGCAGACGGAGCTTGCTGGAGCTGCAGATTTCTGTGCTACATACCTGCGCTGCCAGCTGCTGCTAATGAAGGTAGGAGTGTGTTTCTGTGTCTGCAAACTGACCTGTTCTTCAGATTCAGAACTCTGACCCTCGTTTCTTCAGGCTCTGCAGGAGAAGTTGTGGAACATGGCCGTCCCTCTGTGCCTCAAACAAAACGTCACGGCCACAGCAGCGGCTCAGCAGGTCTCACACACACACACACACACACACACACACACCTGTAACAGCAACAGTGAGATCATGTGATGTGTGCGACTGTGTTTGTAGATCTTGGAGGAAACCTACAAGCTGGAGTTTCTGTACAGCGGCTTGGAGAGCAGACAGGTGGCCACCATACATCATGTTCGACTCCAGGCCAAAGCTCTGCAGCTCGTCCTGACTGCTCGCACCAGACAGGGGTAAACACACGTGCGCATGCACATACACACACACGTGTGCGCGCACGCACATACACACACACACTCTGTACATACTTCCCAGCCTGCGTCTCTCCTCAGGTTGGATCTCCTCATCGGCAGCTGCGAGAAGTTTTTGCAGGATGTCGAGTCTTTTCAGAGGTATGTTTTTTCATTCTTCGTCTTTTACAGACAGTGAGAGTTGAGCTCGGCTCAGTCCATATCAGCAGGAGATTCATGTCATCTGTTGATGGTCTGTGTGTTATCGATGCAAAGGACAGCGTCTGGTGGGTTTTGTCAGCCCGCACGGACTGTCCCGACTCACCGTCGGTGTTTCGTGCCTCCCTCAGGCTGTTTCTGACCGAGCTGCCACACCTCCAGGACAGTTTTGTGGATAAGCTCTTGGAGCTGATGCCGCGCCTGTCGTCCTGTAAGCCGGTGGAGCTGGTGAAAATCCTGCAAACGACCCTGAGACAGAGCGGCCTGCTGCAGCTCAGACTGCCCGAACAGGTGCGGTGAAAACACTGTGAAGCATCACAGCACGAGTTTTCATGACTGAAATCCATACATGAATTTGTCTAATTCACATCAGCATGCTCGTGGTTTCACTCCTGACCCGGAGACCCAGCTGTTACCT